CACACCTCAGCTAAGCTTTAACAAAAGCATCAACAGTCTCATTTCAACGCAACATAGATATAGAGCTGTCAGTGTGCTCTAAACCTCAGCAGGTGAACACAACCATCGCATTAATCAATCGCTCTGAATTTTATTTTTTTGTATCATCTCACACAACCAAACAGCTTGACAAAATTAGAGAGACGTTGAATCTTCCCTCCACCCTTTACTCACCCCTCATTGCACAATGACATCGATAAAACCATTCCAACTAGAAGACCTTTTCACCATCACTCCAGTAAACTTGGACCCCCTAACTGAGAACTTTAACATTTCATTCTACGCCCAATACTTGATATCATGGCCCAATTTATTCTACAAATCAATTGAACAACATCCAACAGACACCACGTCACCACCATCTACCACAACAAGCGGATACATGATGGCCAAAACTGAAGGTCAATTATCCAAGATGGAGTACCATACACATATAACCGCCGTCACGATCCAGGATCATTATCGACGTATTGCGCTAGCTTCGAAATTATGCTTGCATTTGGAATCAATTAGCGAGGTGCAACTGACTTTGTTTATTGATTTATTTGTCAAAGTCACCAATTCGTTGGGGAGGATGTTATATGAGAAATTGGGGTACAGTGTGTATCGACGAGTTGTGGGGTATTATGGGGGCGGTGCTGGTGCTGGTGCCGGTGCCGGTGGTGCTTTACCTGATGATCGTTATGCGATAAACGACGATATTGATGCTTTTGATATGAGGAAATCGTTGCCTTTGGATAAGGACAATAGAACAGTGAGAGAGATGGGAGAGAAGGTGTATGTGCTACCGAATGAAGTTGTATTTTGAGAGAGGGGGGGAAAGGATTATAGTAGTATACCTTGAACCGCAAAGGTCAAATTTGCAACCAAGAAAAGTATTTGAACCACCTGGGTTCAACGAGAACACATTTCGCTTTCGCAATCAACAAAGGATTCTCGGCCAATGTTTGTAGATGACCTTCAATAACAACTTTTCTACCTTTAGCTTCTATCACTTTAGAGTGCAATACAACTGTGCTTTGTGGTGGAGCTTGATTTTCAAAATCAATTTGCAAACTAGCAGTGACTCCTCTTTTTGATGGAAGTTTTCCAAACCCAGCAGAGCACAACCCTTCATCCAAGATGGTGGAGATAATACCATTGTGGATTTGTCCATCTTGACTAATCAATTTATCTCCCAAATGGTAGAAACTAGTCAACTCTCCTGTTGTTTCATTAACAAACACTAGTGGATCGATTTCCATCAAATCAGGTCCAAATAGAATACCAGTGTTTATGTAGTTGTTACGATGTTGTTCAGGAAATGACTTGCTTGAAGTGTAGTGTCTGACCTCGGGGTTAGCTGCTAACTTCTTGTAATCATCAGTCGCCTCAATTTGTTGAATGACAGATTCGTTGATATGATTGAGTTTGCGATCAGCTCCAAATTGACCTTTCCTCCACTCTTTAGGGAACGCCACAGCACCCATAGCAAATGCTACCAACGGAATCGTTTTCCTGACGGTGCCTCTAAACATGTTTTGCTTTTGCTGTAGTGAGAGTGAAAGTTGGAGAGAGTCGCGGATGTGCTTCTTAGTTGAGGGAGGGAAAATTATTGAGACAACGCGCCGCACTGATTACTCTTTTTGGATAGAATGAAGTCGCTGTAATGGCTGGTTAATAGGTTGAGAGGAGTGTACACCACTTTAGCTCTGCAAAGAGAGACTCTGATAAAATCAACAATTACCTTTTTACTAGTGATGATTGGCAGCTCTCTCGAAATAAAACCGCAACAACTCTATATACAACAACACCAAGCATTTGGGTTTGGTCCATCGGGGTTATTGGTAGCGCAATCATTTTTTTTTTGCCGAGTTAATTTTTTTTTTTTTTATTTTTTTTTCCAAGGAGATGAGCTTGAGATGCACATCTCTACCACCACATTCTTACCCTAGCTAAACATGGGTAACAAGTTAAAAGGCTCCAAGCGTCCAAACGAGAATTCAGCTACAATCCAAAACTCCAAAAAGGCTAAATTGAATAGTCAAACACCCAAAGCCACCAAACAAGAACCGGAACCAAAATCAGAATCAGAATCAGAATCAGAATCAGGATCAGAAAACACTAGTGATGATTTATCAGTAAGTGAAGACGAAGACAGCGACGAGGAAGATGCATTAGATGCCTCAGACGAGGACGAGCTAGATGATTTGGATGAGGAAGAGCCACAACAGGATGTAAACAATTTGGACGACGATGTTGAAGTCGGCGAGGACGGGCAAGTCAAGTCTGCTCAATCTATTGACAAGAAAACGTCGAGGGAACAACATTTCGAGCAGAAAAAGCTATTAAGTGATAGAAAATTGCAAAGGAAATCAGGAGCCAAAGTACAAGATATCAAAAAATTGTGGGAAAAAGTCAGAGTCAACCAACCAGCACCAACAAAAGAACAACGTGATAAATTATGTGACGAAATATGGGAGTTATCCCACGACGTCATCAATGATTTGGTTCTTAAACACGATGCATCAAGAGTAGTCCAGACATTGGTGAAGTATTCGAGCAAGGAAAGAAGAGACAGGATTGTTGAAGCTTTGAAGGGATCATTCTACCAATTGGCCACTTCCGCATATGGTAAGTATTTGCTCATTAAAATATTGCATTACGGATCCAAAGAATCCCGAGCAGTCATTGTCAATGAGCTACACGGAAAGCTTCGTAAATTGATGAGACATAGAGAAGGTGCTTATGTGGTTGAAGATTTATTTGTTTTATATTCAACAGCAGCACAAAAGCAACAAATGATTAGAGAATTTTGGGGGAGCGAATATGCTGTGTTTAGAGATTCGGGAAAGGGGAAAACAGTTGTGGATATTATCAAAGAATCATCAGAAAAGAAACAGTTGATTATGCAAAACTTGTATGGTACCATCAAAGCCTCAGTTGAGAAGGGATCAACTGGGTTTCAAATATTACACGCAGCAATGAAGGAGTACGTGAGTATCTTAATTGAAGATATAGATGCAAATGACTCTGCTATTAGAGACTTTATTGACTTATTGAGTGAGCAGTTTGCAGAATTGGTGCACACACAAGAAGGTTCTGAAGTTGCTTGCTACTTAATTGCATTGGCGAATGCCAAGGAAAGAAAAGGGATAATCAAGAGCTTGAAAACGCATAGACAAGAATTAATCAAAAATGAGTATGGAAATGTTGTTCTAATCACATTGTTTATGGCTGTTGATGACACTGTTTTAACCTACAAATCATTTTGTAGTGAAATGTTTACTGTGGAAGAACTCCCTGCATTAGTTCAGGACAAGTTTTCTAGAAGACCCATTTTATACATATTAAGAGGCTTGGATGGCAAGTACTTTGCTCCCAATGTCAAACAAGCGTTATTGAAATACCAGGACTTGGCTTATCAAAAAACCTCGAAAAAGGACAAAGAAGTTAAAAGGCAAGAGTTGTTTGACAAATCGATCGAACCAATATACAAGGCATTATTGGGAGAGCTTGATAATTTGTTGTCAGTGAATATTGGTGCACAGTTTGTCACTGATCTTTTGACAACTCCAACCACCAATGAAAAAGTAAATACCAAACTTAGACCAGAATTGTTGAGCGCACTTTTTGACAAGATCATCAAAGGAGACGTGTTGGAAGATTACCATTTGCTAAACAAGACTCCCTTCATGTCGCGATCGGTGAAAGCATTAATGCATGGTAATCAATTCAAGTTTGACATTGAAACAAAAAAGTTGGTTCAGATCAAGGATACTGTAGCTGTGCCAGGAGTTGGTGTCGAGTTTGCTGAAAAAACGGTTGACGAAATTTTGAACAACGACAAATTGAGCGACTGGACTAGCGGGCAACCTGCATTTGTTTTAGTCGCAGCCTACGAGGTTTTACAATTGACCAACTCAAAAAAGATCAAGTTATTACAACAGCAGTTGAAAAAGGAAAGGAAAAACTTGTCGAAAGATGACAAAGGATCAAATCTTTTGTTAGAGATTATATAGTTGATAAGTCTTAAAGCAATGCCTCATCAGCATCGATCTCCTCTTCTTCACTATAGTCATCCTCACTTAAACTTCCCAGATCGCTGTCGTCCTGAAATATGTTCAGCACACTGCTGCGTTTTCTTTCAATTTTGACACCCATGCGTTTCTCCAGAGTATAATCTACTATTCCGTCACTCGAGTCCATACTCTCATCACCACTCTCAACAATACTATCATTGTCGCTTTCACCATTACTCTCATTATCTTCATCAACAACTTGTTTTTCCTCATCGTCCGAGATGTCTTCATCACTCATTGCTATTGTTATTGCGTCCGCATCAATTGCCTTTTCGTCAGCTTCAAACTCTTTGAACCATTCCAATTTGCTACTGCATCTCAAACATGGAACGTCATCACCACTTGATTTCATCACATTGAACTGAGTAGCAATACACACGTAGCAATAAACATGACCACAGTTGGTGATACATGGATTGGTAACCGGCCCCGCTGTCGTAAACACACGCCCTCCTGACTGTGCTGCTTGATGATTGTTATAATGGCAAATTGCACATTCCAGTACCGGTAAATTGGTGTATGGAGTCAATTGTTTCTTGCTACCTGGTTCGAACTCGAATGCATTTGGTCCATTAGCTCTATGAAACAACTTTTTTGTAAATTTACCAATTCGTTTCAATTGCAATAATGGCAAAAGAAACACCAAAAATTCCGTCATGACATTCCACACCAATTGTCGATTTTGAAACTCATAATTAACATTGCTTCCATTGAACTTTAACAAATCTGAAACTACCGGAGTCTCAGTGATCCCAAGCAACCGATGTAGAATGGATGGATATCTCCCGTTGATTAAAAATACGGTAAAATTGAGCAAATTAACAGTTTTCAAAGTATTGTCAATCCTTGTCAAAACCGCCGTTCGGTTATTAAGAGCAACGCTCTTCAACCTATAAAGCAACGAGTCACCCTCGTCGCCATCACCGGAAAGTACGTCATTGACTTGATAAAGTGCAGTTTCCACTTTTTTATACAAGTATGTCCCCACCAACGCCACCAACAATAGTCCTCTCTTGTTGAACCCGATAACCTTCCCCGTGCGTGTGTCAGTAAGTTTCAAATTCTGCAAAGCTGAACCATAAGACGACCCAGATTTCCAAACTGTCAATCTGAAAATGAGCAAGTTCAAAAGTAAAGAATATGTTTCGGGATGTCGATTATACGAAAGCTTACTAGCAATCGAGTTGGAGTTTTCGTGAAGTTGGAAAATTGACGAAAGCTGATCTTTCAAGAGTGTGAGCAACTCCGAATCTAGAATACTTGCATCTAGTTGAGAAACTCTCGAAGAAGGGTAAGGTATGGGAAACATGTTTGGCAGTTGTACCGAGGAAGTGATCGTTAATTTCCCCACGAACAGAAATAGAAAAAAAAAAAAAAATACTGATGAAAGGATTTGGGTAGCGGTTTCTATCGCTGTTGAGGACTCTTGGGAGTTGCAATTCCATTAGAGCCTGAAGTAGCTAGCTACATCATTCAATTCTACTGAAATCTATACCTACCAGCCACACCATTCAATTAACTAGCAAATCTATTGACAATTTTAGAAAAATCGAATCAAATGCAAGATTTCAGTAGAAATTTCTCCCACCAAAAGCGAAGTTTGACGCAAAGGTAGGTTTCGTAATGTATTAGCCACCAGTTTCATTACCTCTTTCTCATCCTTTTCAACCTGACTATTGAAACCGAAGGCCAGCACATTCATCAAAACAACTTTCAAAAGTTTCAACAACTGTACTTGAATGACAGGGTTTTGAGGATATCCTTTCAATTTTACCAAGATGTTCTCAACTATATTCACCTCCAGCATGGATTTCACCAAGGAGCCGTCCAAAGCCAATAACTTCAAGTATACATCAAGAACAGACCCCAAGTTAGCAACCTTGGGCAAAAGAAACCCAGCAGCCAAACAGCCATTGGCTTGTGGGCTGTCCATTTTTATATGTCGAGGACTCATCTGATACCATGCACACAAAGCCTCTAAAGCATTCGATTGCCAGTATGGATCGAGCAACAAATTAAAATACAAACCAAGGATGTCGCATGATCTCAATTTAGCTCTCACCGATTTGCCGCAATACACCAATTCGCAAACAATTGGTAAAATGAATTGTCGAAAGGGCAATTTGACCATCGATAATGTCCTCAAATGTGGAAGGGCACCCAAGTTAACAAACTCCATCTCCTTGGCATGATTCAATGAAAGACAGTTGTACAAGAGCGGGGCAATATTGTTAATTATTTCCTTGTAATTCGACCTCAACGGGACATATTTTTCCAACAACCTAGCCAAAAACTCCACAATATCAGCTTTATAAAGATACTTTAAAACATCTCCTATGCATGACATTGATCTAAAGAATTTCAAAATCACAATTTGTTGACTTAATTGCAAGTCATCGTATAATTTGACTAATAGTTTGAATATATCCACGTTAGCAATCGCAATCCTAACTTTTGTTTCCGCTTGACTGAAGAACTTGAGGACGTCCACTACCTTACCAACAGCTAACTCCATGTCATCTTGCAGCACCAATTTGTAGTGACTTTGCTGACGCCTTTTCAAAAGCATGTTCAACAACACAATAAACCAAAACAAAACACCGTGCTTGGACAAAATCCGACAAATGTCCGACTTTGATCTACTAACATCTCTTGTTAAGATATTGTGGATTGTGTCGATAGCAACCAAGGGAAATGTAGGAGCATCATCAAGATCTTCTTCAACAAACTTTGCAACTAGCCTAAGTCCACCACAAGAGACAAACATTGACAATGCCTTGTTTGACTTGTTTAGGCAATTGATAAACCTGGCAACCTCAAGTCTTACATTCTTATCATACGTTGAGCTTCTAAAATGGGCAACTGTCGGAATCCCACCTAAGAAGCAGAAATTTTCCAATTGGCCAACATTTGACTCAAATACGTGATTTAATACCGATAAAACATGGTACCATAGTTGATTTTGCTTGGGAATATCTGGATGGGACTCTAGTAGCTCCATTAGTGAAAGAATACCATGATCCCGGATAAAAGTGTCATGCAGAAATTGGTATTTCTTGATCAAATGTAGCATTCTTCCCGTTACCTTGATTAGCTTTGCGACAACGTCCAGATTACCAGCATGCACCTGCTCCAACTTGTGGGTCAACTTTGTCACCAAATATTCCATTTTGGCTTGAATTTCGATTTCGTTAGTATTGAAATCGTCCACTTCAATATCCAAAAAGGGATCGTCTTCCTCAACCTCGTCAAAATCCTTGTGGAAAACCGCCAAAGAAGTGCTTTCTTTGGCAAATATGGACGAGGGAAACAGGTCAGGCGCGTCTTCTTCATGAAATTTGTTCAATAGGTCATCTTTGGAGAGTTTAGTTTTCAGAATTAATTGGCTCCTGGAAAATTTCGACTTCACTTCTCTGTCCAGTAGTTCTAGAGGGGTTTGGACGTCCTCATTAGCATACTTCAATGACATGGGCTGATTAAGAGGTGGTAAAACATGCGACACCCTTCTCCTTTCAGTAGCCGAGTCAGCAGATACATCCTGGTTCAACCACTTGTGTTTAAGCAATAGGGCTGCACTGATCCTTAAATCTGCCTGCTTTTGAAAGCACTCTAACAAAAAGGCAGTTGCTAACGATGAAATGTGTTTGGGCAATGGTGGATGTTCATCAGTACCTATAGCATGGAGAGTGGCCATTGCATTCAACTCGTGATATGGAGGGTGTGTAGTAAATAGTTCGATTATTGTGGCTCCTAGCGACCATATGTCTGAAGCAGTACAAAGGCCCTCACCTCCAAGGACAGTCTCGGGTGCCATCCAATTTGGCGTTCCAACAACTGTGAAATGTTGTGAGTTTACTTTTGAAGCAACACCAAAGTCAGCTAGCTTGACTTCGCCTTTGTCGCTCAATAGCACATTTGCAGCCTTAACATCTCGATGCACGACACCTTGTTCATGTAAGTAGTTTAGACCAGCTAGTATCTCTCTCACATATTTGACAATCTCGTCTTCAAAAAGACCACTTTTTCTCTTTTTGTACAACTGACGTAAAGACCCTCCTTCACAGTACTCAAGTATGACATTCAAGGACGACACAGTTTTAACAAAACCATGGTACTTGACTATATTTCGATGCTTCAAAATCTTTAAAAGATCAATTTCTCCCATTAACCCTCCGACATCTTGATCCAGATCAAGTCGTATTTGCTTGATTGCAACAACATGGCCAGTAGCCAAATTCTTTGCTTTATAAACACTAGCGAAGGCACCATTGCCTACTAAAGTACCAAACTCAAAGTTATCGAGCGCACCTTGGGTGTATACATGACTCTGCTGTTGTGTTTTTTGTGCAGGAGTTAGGGATATCTTCACCGACGTAGCCCTTTTCGGTGTTGTTTGTGTTTCCTCAAGAGATTTTGCCGGTTTAATTTCATGAAACTTGTTAACTTTCATTTGTGATATTTCATGAAGTCGTCGTGGAGATGGGTTGAACATGTTATCCCTCGGTTGATGTTTGGTTCCACGACGGGGCAGAGATGAAGTAGGTTGCAAAGACCCCGGATGCTCAGAAAATTTGGATCCAGATCCAGACCCGGATCCAGCCTTCTCTTGCAACCTTTTCATGAACGGAGATTCATCGCCTTTACCCTCGCGTACTAAAATCGGTAGTGACTTAGCGGGAGCATTTGTACTTGTGAATTTAGAAAATGACAAATCACCATAGAATTCGAAACCTTCGAGGCCTTCCGCTTCGTTATAATTCTCCTGGTATTTTGATAGCGTGGCCCTTTTGCTACCACTGCCAGCTGCTTGTTGCGAGGATGCGGAAGGGCTCAGTAATTGAATATTCAAGTTGCCAATATTGTCTAGGTTGGGAAGATGATTCGTTGACATTGACATCTTCTATACACTCATGTTTCGTAGATATATATGGAGGTGTTGTGAAAATCCTTGCAGTGTGTGTGTGTATGTGTGTGTGTGTTGTTGTGTTTGTGGTTGTAAAATAAAATAACTAAGAAACTGAGTGTTTACATTCTTCTTTTTTCCGAATAATTGTACAACCTTAATGAATTCAATTTCCAATGAAAGACTAATGATACATGTGCCCTAACACACCCACACACTGCATCACAATGCCACAAATCATGAGCTGAAGTATTCTTGTACATAAAACTCATCATTTGTTCAAGACACGAAAGCTGTCATCCACCGTTTGGTTTTGGGGTCTCATGTCCTTGAGAACTGGTGTGGAGTGCAAATGAAGCTGTTCTTAACCTATATTGAACACGACAAGTCTTGGAGTACTATGTTACAATGTGAAAAGGTCAGATATTGGCGTACAGTATATTACAGAAATGATTAAGTTGTCCTACAGGAGACATCTTTTGTCATCAGCACAGACCGATATCTATCCAACTCAACCTACAGAAACCTCCTCATATTGGAGGCGACTCTATCTACTCCTTTGGCCATCAACAGTGCACATCCAAGAAGACTATTTGGGCTGAGGAATGCACAAATACTTCACAGATTCCCTCGATGCATCACCGATTCGGTGTCCACCAAAACTTAAATGACTCAGGACTCTACTTAAATAAGCATACGGTTTTGTTTAGGGGGTGACTGATAGCACATGAAACCATGCCAATTATCTCTTTCCATGACATATACACAGATTTGAGCCAATTTGGGTGGATTCATTGCAATACTACAGCAAACAATTGTTCATGTTCACAAGTTCTTGAGTTTTGTTGCTTGACTAGCCCACTATTCTAACCATATCAATACAAGATGTACAAATAG